TCAACAACCTTTGTTTACATTTTGTGGGATCACTGACCCCTTTGTTTACATTTTGCGAGGTCAATGACCCTTTTGTTTACATTTTGCGAGGTCATTGACCCTTTTGTTTACATTTTATGAGGTTAATGAACCTTTGTTTACATTTAGCAAAGTCCACAACCTTTGTGTACATTTAGCCAAAGCCAAAACCCATGTATACATTTAGCCATGTCAACAACCTTTATTCACATTTAGTCAAGTCAACAACCTTTGTTATATTTTGGGCTACTGACCCCTTTGTTTACATTTTATAAGGTCAAGATGAACAAAAATAGTATACTGTCTGTGGCAACACGGTGCGAGGGTATAAAGATTGCAATGTTTATTATCAATGAAAACATCAGAAAGTGAAATTATGTAATTATGATAAGCATTCATCATTCATCTTCCATTTAGAGCTACAAGATAATGTACAACAAAAAGAACAACGCACCGATGAAGAAAAAATAAGAATCAAGTCTGAACGCGACTTTTTCCAAAAAGAATATTTGCGCCTTATAAGTAAAGCTGGTTCGGAAAAGGTACATCAAAAGTAATCTATTAAAATAAAAAACTGAAATTTTTAAATTATCAACAGGAAGTTGAGTTTTTACAATCTCAAATCAAGTCAAAAGACGATGAGCTACGTCTTCTGCGCGCAGAGCTTTGTCTGCGCCAACAAGAACGCCTAATGCCAATAGTTAACACAGCCAACGCAGCTACAGCCACTGCCACTGCAGCGCATTGCGATTTCGCACAAGCGTCGCTAGCAAGCGCGCGTTCAAATCATTCCGCTAAGTCAACGACCAGCGCTGCTAGTAGCGAATGCGTACAGGCGGTGGTTCTGCGCGCGGAACGTGAGCGTGATTGCGCACGCGCCGAATTAGAACGTGTGCGCTGTGAACGTGACACATTGCGTGAGAAGCATGTTTCACTGTTGCAAGCACAATCGTTGGAAACGCAGAAGTCGCAAACACATATTGGTGAGCTAAATGCGCGCATACGGCAGTTGGAGCGAGAGTATCGTGAGTTGAATTCGGTGCGAGTTCCACATGAAACAAACATTGTATTGCTCAAAGAGGAAATAGATGAGCTTAAGCGACAGATTTTCGCTTTGCAAGAGGAAAATACGAAATTGCGCACGCGCAACAGTCAATTTAAGTAAGCATTTGGAAAGTAGTTGGCGTCAATTACAATAGTTTGAGATTTTTTATGGTTTTTTTTTATCGTTTTTGTTTTTAGAATTTTGAACGAGCAAACCGAACGTACGCTGCAAGAGTATCAAAGTAAACTTGCCATAGCCGAGCGGCAATTACAAACGGCTGGTACGCGTTTAAACGATTTGGACTCGAATCGTGAGGTCACACATCGTGAAGCTGCACAGCTGCGCAATGAAGTTGCAGCATTGAAGAAGACTTATGTCTCACTGGAAAGTGAGAAAGATAAAATATTGGTATGTTCTACAGAGAAATTTGCAAAATTTACACGTTTTAATTTTTGAATATTTTTTTTGTTTTATTTCTTTTGTTTTTTAAATTTATTTTATTTGTTTTATTTATTTATTTTTAATTTTTTATATTTTTATTTTTTTAAATTTATTTTTTTATATTTTTCCTTTTTTTATTTATTAATTTTTTATTTTTATTTTTTTATTTCTGAAGACGCAATTAGATGCTAAAACGGAGCGTGCTTATCAATTGGAATTTGAGCTTAAGCTTTGCAAAGAGAAACGTTTAGCGTTGGAAAAAGAGGTCAAGGAGTTGGAGGAAAAATTAAGGTAAGTGGTCTAGATTTAAAAATAACGGTATAACAGTGAGAAAACCACTTCTGTTAAATAGCTTCGGTGTTGTTGTTGTTGTTGCTTTAAGAAATCCACGTGTGTATGGTATTATAGCTTCGCTGCAGCCGAAATTAATGTTTTTCTTTTTTTTAACAATAATTTAAACAAAATATTCTAAAATATAACTTTTTTTATACATTTTATTTCAAATGGCACACAGAAATCTCAAACACACAATAACAATGCTGCTTAACTTATACTACTAGTTGTTTCTACGATTAATTATAATTTCTTGACGAAATTAAATTTTTAGTGTTTACATTAATTTTTCTTTTAAATTTACAATTAATTCAATACAATATTTTTTGCCTTTTATTATGTTTGATTTATCCGTGCTATCCAAAAATTTCTAAAAACCATCTAAAAAATATGAAAAGAATCGAAAAATATTTATAACAGTAAATTTATATAATAATACAGAAGTGATAATACGTAAGAATTTACGATTATGAAGGCAAACATGCGGGCATGCTGAGGAACAGACGCAGGCGCAAAGGTAGGAGTAGTTGTATTATATATAAACAAGTCATGCATAGGCGCAGTTGGTAAGAGAGCAGGAGAGACACATTTATTGTTGAGAGCGTTGTAAATATGAAAAGTTTTACATATATACATATGCATATTTATATATATAACCCAATTATGTGCTGAATAGCTGAATAGAGTATCTATTTACATAGTAACACAGTTTTTTTCATATTTTAAAAATTTTTTTCAACAGAAGAGCCGATAGATTATCAAAATATTTACAATATATAAAAAATATAAAAAAGATTGGATGCAGCAGAGTTTACAGCGTTTCAGTACGACTTAAATTAAATTGAATATATTTACATACATACATACATACAAGTACATGCTTAGGCAAGCAAACGCTGGCATTGTTAGTTTTAAAATTGAAAGTTGGGAAAATTAAAATTTGTATTGAATTTAGAATTTTCACGTTGTTTATTCAAATACCTCGCTAAACCCACCGTGGGCGCATTGCAGCGTGTTATGCGCGCACGTGGTAATTTTTGATCATCTTCACCATCATCTGCGGCGAGCGTATAGCCCGGCCGACAGACACACTTCGCTTTAGTATCCAAAAAACGTTGCATTTGTGGTCCGAGCGTATGTGTTTTGAGCGGTTCCAACCACTGGCCCGGTCCACATGGTCCTCTCGTATATAATTTATAACAATTACCATTAAGCTCTACCATACCCGGCGTCGATTCGCATGTATTCTCATCTTCTGTACCGCCATTGTCGATATTCGAACATTGTTGATCGAGATTCCAAATGACGCCGGAGCAACCGCATATGCCGTTATAAGAAATGCCATCAACCGAGGGGCGTGCCGTAAAGTCAAAGACGACCACCTGATGCAGTGAGCACGGACCCTGTGAACCAATGCGATAGCATGTATTCTCATCGGGAAAATATAGACGACTTTTGCCGCAAAAGTTGCGCACACAATTGGTTGCATTAATCAGAAATTCGTTGGGTCCACATGGTCCCCTCGTATAGAGACGATAGCACAGCCCATCATTCCATGGCACATAACCGTCTTTGCACTGACACTGAGCGCGTGGTATAACTGTCGCTGTGTTGGCGGCAGTCAAATTGTCGGGTAGGTTGAAAATATGTCCCGGCGGACATGGCCCTGGTGTGTCTGCAATTGTAAAACAGAGATACTTAGCGACTGCAAAAACCAAAACAAACAAAAGTTTTTTTATAATTATACTTAATTCGTAGCACATTTGATGATCCTCGTTGTAGTGCGGCAAATGCCGATGACAATCGCAACGCCCACCAGGTAAAAAGAGCTCACCAGGTGTTGAGCAAGGACCTTTCGTGTAATGCTCGTGACAGGTCTCTTCTGGGTCGTAGTAATAATCACGCAGTGCACCTTCGGGCTCACACTAAAATTAAATTCGTAGAAAAGCTATACTTTCAGCAACGCTTTTAACTCTATACATACTAACTATACACACCTTACACTCGCCCAGCCCATCCTTATTCAATACCAGCAGTTTGCCCTTAACACAAGGTCCTTTCGTGTACTGCGCATAGCATCTGCCATCTTTCGGCCAAAAAATCATGCCCACCGTACATTGCTTGGCAATTTTACAGCTACCCCAACGATTACTGGACCTGTAAGTTGTATATAAAATAAGGCGAGAGCTTAAACCATCGCTAGCTTTTAATAAAAACTCACCTTCGTCCGCTACTAATTGCCGCACGCTCTTCTGGTAATGGCGCAAAGTATGCACTATGTTCGCATGGACCACGCTTAAATATCTCATGACATTTATTTGTCTCGGCACTTAAGGCCGTGCCTGGCGGACAGCGGCATTCAGCTGCTGGTGCATTAAGGCGCGCCGATTTCGTTTTACCCACATTCGGTGCTGGACTCAGTTCCATTGTTTCTGGGCACGGGTAGCCGATTGTGAAGATTTTGAAGCACTGCTTAAGCGGCGGCCAATAAAGCAATTGCCAACCGCCGGGCATGCTGGCGCAGGGATTCTTTTCGGGATCACTCCAAGGTGGTGGTACAATCGCCGCTTGCGTAGTTTTACTCAGCAGTAATGTGAGAAAAGCAATTAGGCTGAGACCAGAGTGTAGGACAGTCCAACAGAGTAGCAACTTTCGCCGTTTCATTGTAAGATTCTGTGTTTTTTTATGAAAGTATTATATGCTGAAAGAAAAGGAAAACGAAATTAGGTACAATATGAGGAAGAAAAACGGTAATATCGGCTGCGCCAACCTGCACAGTTGCATTTCTTATATCATAAAATGGTTTCAAAAGTTCTTTATATTAATTTTGGTTGGTGAATTTGTATGGCAGCTATATGCTATAGTAATCCGATCGGAAAAATACATTCGGAGACTGTGGCGGTGCCTTCGATACTCTTCCGTGCTACATTTCGTGAAGATATCTTGTCCACAAAGTTTTCCATACAAGAACTTGATTTAGACCGGTCACTTCGTATGGCAGCTTAGACAAATGAGCAGCTTTTTGAGGAAAAATGTCCGATTGATATCTCAAAAATTGAGGAACTAGTTCTCGTATATATAGACAGACGGACTGGGCTCAATCGACTCAGCTCGTCACGCTGATCATTTATATATAATATTTACTTTATAAGCTCTCCGTGTATACAAATTTCCAGTAAAAGCTGGGTCAGAAATCAAAAATAAAAAGTTTTTTACGAACAATTGTAAATTTAGTCTCTTCGGTTTAGTTTATGTCAGATAAATCTGAGTCTATGTCCTTCAAAATAAGTTAATATGATATCAAATCCTGAACCAACATCTGAAGGTATTTCGCGGGCTTTGAGGCTTGCAAATTGCAAGAGCATGAAATGTTCGGTTACACCCGAACATAGCACTTCTTTACTAATTTATTATATGTTTTTTTATTTAGTTTATTGTTTTTTTTTTTTTTTTGTTTTTTTACTATGGTGGTCATGCTGAACTTATTATATATAATTCAATTGTATTGTTTATTTTTGCTTTTAGAAATACAAAATTATACACATATGTATCTACATACAAACATATCTAGAAATGAAGGCAAAATATAGTAAATTAAATATTTTAATTTATTTAAAATAAAATTTTGGAATTCAGTTCAGCTATGCCGCTAAAACCCTACGCAAGAATTTCACTTATGTGCGTATGCACACATTTACTTATGTATATATATTGACGTCGGTATATATATTTACGCATCGCGCCAGATCACGCTTGACCGGTCGTTAGCCATGACCTAAAATGTTGTTGTTGGTTACCAAAAAAAGAGATGAATGATAAGAGGATGGCAGTAAAGAGTACAAGCCGGTAATAATAATTGGGCTAAAATGTTCATAACAGACGTTAACGCAAAAAATTTGCAAATACAGTGGTTTGGTGTGTGAGAAAAAGTGATAATTTATTTTATATTATATAATATCATTTTTAGTGAGTTTTTATAACTACAAAATTACCACTTCATCCGCATGTTTGATTAAATTTTTTATTAAATACATAAATAGTATAAAAACTGTTTTTGGGATCTTTCAAGCCATAAATATTCGAATGTGGAAGCCAGTTGTTTAAGTTAGTTTTTAAATCACCTATACGATACTTGTTGGGTATGCTATAGCGTATGACTCGTACTGTTTGAGAAGATCTTACCAACAGAGGTTAGAAAACGAGTCATCCAGTGTTGGATGAGGGTTTACAAAAAAGCTCGCTTGACTCGTGCATTGCTAAAAAACTTTCTCCTCAAATCGTAACTCTCTCAATTATTGAGGTCGTAACAATCATACTCCAAATTCTTTTCTATTTTCTCTATGAGAGAGTGGTTAGTGAGAAAGTTTAGGTGATATGTTGAACGAGGAAGGTTGTTTGAACTTCTCAAACTAACAAGCCGTGGCTTTCTAAATAATTTAATTCATAAAAACCGTTGTCTAAGCCCTTTTGAAGACCTTCTCAAGCTTATTTCAAAGAGCACTGGAGCAAATTTCGCACTCCAAGCTCAAAATATAAATATTCATATACTCGTATTTATGGCTAAATTTCATAACATTTTTATTTGTTGCTTTAAATTTTTATCGCTTACAAAAATCATATGCGAATTTATTTGACTTTTGTGCAAGCAAAAACCACAATAAACAAGATAACGCAACAGCAGCGCCAAGTTGACAGCCGGTAGCGACTAGTATGCTAAAAGCTTCCTGCCAGTCAAAGTATTACATAGTAAAATGAGACTGCCACATATCGACGCAACGGATGTTTCTTTTGCAGCGCCACAAATCACTCGCCACAAGCAGTCAAGAGCGTGCTTGGCGCATAATTTGTGGCATTTCCATAGTCTTAATGTGTGCAACAAAGCGCTACAATCGCTAATAGTGTTGCTTTGCACTCTTTGACTTGAAATTTGTCTTTTTTGCAATAATCACCGTTACTTTATTGGCTTCATTGCAGCAATCTGTGCAATTGCTTTGCGTTTTATGCGCTTTGGCTGAAAACACAGTCGGTTGCAGTTTCTGTTGTTGTTATTGTTCATTTTATTTACAAGTATCAATTTCGCACTCCGCGCATGCGCCAGCGCAATTTTATTTGCTCAATAAAATACTTTGTTTATATGTATGTTGTGTCTCAATTCGCGTTGTTTTTATAATTTTTTTTTTATTTTTAATTTTTTTCATATTTTCTTTTTTTTTTAAATCGCTGTCTCAATTTCCAACACGAACTGTCTTTGCCATTGTTGGCTTGAGAATGTACGCGAATATGAGTAGCGTCAACACAGAACTTGCCAACACATTTAGCTGTATATTTATAGCTGTCTGCGGTTTTATCATGGACCTCATTTGAATGACCCATATTGCGCCGAATGCACGCAACTGCTAACATTGAAGAATCATGTGCGCAAACATACGTATGTACATAGTATTATGAACAACCTGTATGTGCTTATTATTAAACAGACGTTTTTGTGTGTGTTATTTTTGTGTACCGGGTTCAAGGTGAGGCAAGTGTGTCTTCCGAAATTATTTAGAAGTAAAAAGCAAATGATCGAAATGCTTCAATACTATCGAATTTGAGCTGAACTATTAGGTTGCCACGTTGATATAAACTTATGTTATTTATGACAGAGACATTTTTTCACTATTCTATCAATTGAATAATATTTTTAAGACGCTTAGATTGAATAGAGGTCTGCACCGCGACCTATGGTGTATTGTGTCTTCATGGTTTATATCAATTTGCAAATCAGAAAGAATGCGCTTTATTTATATATTTTATTATTAAAATGCACTTTTATTTAATTGTAATTAAAAAATATGCATTTTCATGATTTTATTGAACTTTAATAATCGGCGATTATTTTTTAAAAATTTGAAATTCCCTTTAATCCGTAGCCGATCTCCAGGAGGACCTACGAAAAAAAGTATCTTGCGATGAGAAAGATTTTTCTGCTTAAAATTTTCGCAAAATCAAAAACCAAACAAAGTCTTATTACTAAAGCTGAACACAGGTAATGCTTGAGGAACTAGTCAGATTTTTGATTTGCCTTCCCAAAAAAGTCGTTTTTTTTTAGAAAAAATTGACACTTCAAACTGGCTTTAAAAATCGAAATTATTATCGAAAATCGTATCCTCTCGGTTGACTTGACAAACAAAAATTTATATAAGAAGCTCGTGTGAAAATTTCAATTGGCCCAGTCCAGCCGTTTCGGAGAAATATTGCTCACCGACTCTGAAAACAGCGTTCCGTGAAAGATGAGTTTAAAGTTTTGAGAGCCGACTACACTAGTTAAAAGTTAAAAAATTCCTCCAAGTGCGCGCATATCTCCGAAGCTATATTTTCGGAGAATATTCCCAATTATGTATATGTACAATATATGGTACATATGTACATGCAAAAAAAGTGGATATCACCACTTAAGCCAAAAAAAAATATTTTGAAAGTTCTAGGCTAGCCTAATCGCGTAAAGTGTCCCTATCTCCGTTGAATTCTCCGAGAAGATATACATTATTATTAATAAATATAATACATACACACATATATATTTAAGCCAAAAGAAATATTAATAGGTGTGGACAAATCAAAAACTTTTTTCCCTTAAATATGTTTTCTGGTCGATTTGAACCTTATTCCACAGATATTTCAAAATTTTATCCTTGCATTACTAAATCTACTAACTGGTTTGTTAATGAAGTGAAAATGAAATTGTAGCTGGAATAATATTAACCATTGTCAACCCACAGACAAATACAATCAAATGGCAACTCAAGCAAAATTGCATAACTGTAAATAAATAAGGCAAGTCAAGAAAGTAGACAGCAGCAGCTAGCCGCCTGATGTCTTGCACGAAGGTATCAAGCGCAGCGTCTGTAGCACAGTTCACTAACAACAACAACAACATTAACGTCATCATGCACACGGTTTGTAAACAAAAACCGGCATTTGAGTGCGCCGTTTGCAAACGTTGCACTGCAACATGTTTCAAACAGCTGTTCAACACCCGGTGTAACGGTTAATTAGCCGCGCGCTTGCTTGACTTCTTTTCACTTGCAATTATATTTGTTGCACCAACATGTGCAACACACATGCACACACATACAAACATACATATTTATAGCCTGGCATGTGCGCTGGACCACTCTCGCTGCTGCTGCAGCCAACTGCCCACCCTTGCCCGTCAGCCATTCACAGCGTTGTTGTTGGCTATTTTCTTTGCATTGCAATTGCTTGTTAGCGTTTTCTTTACTTTTATTGTTGCGACTATCATTAACTGCCGGCGATTACGTCGTCGCTGGAAAAGTTGTGAAAATTACTTGCAATTATTTGTTATTTCATTGCTATTTATTTTTATACGTACGCCGCGCGGGGTGTGGCAAACAGCAAAACAGCATTGTAGGCCATCAGCATGATAACTTTTTTTGGTTTAGTGGGTTACTAATGCCAACGCTTGCCTTATTTGTTGCTTGCGCAATATTGTGGTTATTATTGATCGCTGAGATAATATTACAAATCGAATGTGATGTTAAAGAGGCAATTAAAACAATGCTTCGGGGGATAGTTTAGAGGGGGAAAACTTTGATGCAACTGCATTGCCAATTTTACTGTGTTATTGTCGCTGAGTTTTGAATCTTGTGTTTCAAGCTTGCAAGCTGGAGATTCGCATTTGCATTTTGTAATGTTTACTATAATATTTCCGAAGACGAGAAGAACAATATAATTAGTTAAGACTTAATTACTTGAAATTAGCAATAATTTTTAATTAACGATCGTTCCGTTCTCACATAAGCCGGTTACGAAAACTGCCACTTCAACAGCATACCATAGAATTATTAGGGTGACGATTTTTGGTTTGCCAAAGTAAAGTTTCCTAGATTTATTCGCTCTTACAACTTAGTGCATACATATTTATATATACCTATACAAATTTACGATATTTTTGGTCGAGCTTTATTCGCTATTTTAGGTGGTGATTCTGAGGTTTTAGAACAGAAAAGGGTTTCAGCAAATTTTAGGCCATCTCTGAAGTCTCTAAGAGACTTTCGGAGAAAATATTTCCATGCCACAAGTACACACGGAAGATTAGAACACACAACCTAACAAGCAGACCCAAAGTTACGTATTCAATGCCCTTGGCGACCCTCACTTATTTAAAGTGTTCCATCCACTTGCAAGTCAGAAAAATGCGTTCTTTTTTAAGTAATTTGAAGCGACTTTTACAAAATTCAATGATCCCTTTAACCCCGTTGCCGATCTCACGTAGCCGATCCAAAAAAATTATTCCAACGGTGAAAAAGATTTTTCTGCATAAATTTATTGCAACTCCGAAAACTATAAAAATCTTTTATTGCAATAAATGATAATGATCGAAGGACTAGTTAAAATTTTGATTTTTGACAAAATGGCGGCTTCCAAAAAAAATTAGATTTTTGTGAAAAAATTTTTATATCAGAAATACAATATTAAAATATTATCCCTTCGATCAATATCTGTCTGTTTATCTAAAAAATCGTATAAAAATTTCAAGCCGTTCGTTTCAACCATTTTAGACAAATTTTCCGCACTTACTCTGAAAACGGCGTTTCGAAAAAAAGCGCTTAAAGTTTTGGAAGCCGATTACACTAAAATAAAAAATTCTTACAAAACGCTCATATCTCCGAAACTGTTTGTCGGATCAATTTAAAATTTTTTATATATGTTTTTAAATATATATATTGTAAAAAAATAAAATATATATATTATAATTTGAATATATTTTATGAATTAACTAATAGTTGGTAAGCAATATAAATAAAGCTGCAAAAAGAAGATTTTTATAAAGTGTCAATCTTTCATAAAAAAAAAAATGCGGCTGGAAACTAATTTGTAATTTTGTCTCGACCAAAAATGAACTTTTTTTTTTATATTTTCTCATTGAGCTGAGAAACTCATAATTGTCAGTAAATTGATTCGGTTTTGACATCTGCTCATATGTAATAGTATAGTACGGCAATGTGAGCTTTGGTAAGTTCAAGGACATAAATTGCATAAAAGTGGCTCACAGCTCCTGATTTTGTTTCTATACAAATAATTGTTTTTTAACAGCTAATTTTAATATAGTAGAAAATATTGAATACGAACTGTCATATAATATAAAGCAATATGCCTAATTATCACACTAAGTCCACTTTTGAAAAACAAGAACACACTTATATAATTACAACAATAATTTTCGGCTAATTACTTCACTAATTGGCATTACCTTTTTTGGTTTTCACCGCTAACGTAGATTGCGCAGTCGATATTTCTGCAAACTAGCTATATTCTCCACAAAATTTTGTAGTTCTCCTCTCCGTTGAGGTTTCACTTTTTAGAACAAAATGTTGGCATTTCTTTCGCTTTTAACAATTAAAATTTTTACAAAAACTCGCTTGGCACTTTCACGAAACGCACATACTTGAAGTTTTTTTCACAATGTCACTATTTACTATATTCTTTTATGGAACATTATATTAAATGTCTACAATGTCAATTACCCACACAGCCACACCACACTCACACTTATCGGACGGTTATTCAACTCTTTGATCATATACATATGGATGCGCCGAAAGCTGAGGCGAAGCAGCCACTTAGTTCATAAACTTTGAATGAGGCAAAGAATGAAGTGAGTGCGCACAGGTAGCTGAAATGAGGTAGTAAATGAAGATGATAAAGAAGGTAAACACAAGTTGATATGCAGCAGAGAAAAGTGGCTGTGAATTGGTGAAACAGCAACCACTACACAAATAACTAATTAATAAGTAGCGGCAACAGTCGCAGCGATCGCAGCAGCAACTCCTCTTTATGGCCTTGAATTCAGCTTGTTTTGATTTCTTCTATCTTTTTATTACTAATTTTATTTACTGTGTTTAGCTACAATCGAACATTTTTTTGTTTGTCTGACTGACCAGCTTGAAAATGTTTGTGTGAATTCGTATTTTTTTTAAAGGTTGAAATGTACATAGACGCAATTAGTGACTCCGCTTTCTAATTATTAATTAATTCTTCTGATTGTTACGTATTTATTTGTTTACATATTTTTATATTTATTAAGTGAATGTATAGTTTAAACCTATAATTAGCTGGTGAACTGAATATTATTAAATTAATTTTTATTTATAACTTTTTTTTTTGATTTAGTTCACTTTTAATTTATTTGTTATTTTTTTTTATAAATATATTTACAGTTTTATATTTTTAAAATATTTTTTTTATGCATAGCTTTTGAGTTGAAAAAAGTTTTTTTTTAAAAATTTTCCGAACATATTTCACAATTTATTTATTTTCTAAGCTCAAAACCGACAATAATTAGTCGAAGAGATTTGAAAAATGTTGTATATTTTTTTAAAGAGAGGTTGAGTCTATTTATCTCTAAATGTTGCATAATTTTATTGTGAAAAATGCATTTGGCTATAAAAATCACAAAATTAAGAAACTATTCTGAAAATACGTTTTGAAACACATTCAGCATTTTCGAAATATTTCATAGTTTGCACATTTAAGTTAGAAAACTGCAAAATCTTGAAATCTAGGAGAATTTAGAAACAACATTTTTTTATATAATCTGCACCAAAACCACGTTACAGGTTACAAAAGGACGAAAATGTTCAAAAACTCATTTTTTTCAAACTTTCTAAAAACAGAGTATTGAAATTCAATATATGAACTTATGAGTCAGAAAATCGCACGATCTTGAAATCTCTGAAAAATTGAAGGCAATTTGAAATACATATAGTCTACACCAAAATCACTTCACAGTTTACAAAAAGCATGATAATGTTTCAGAAATCCTTTTTCGAACTTCAAAAAATAGAATTTCGAAATTTAGTCGTAAGATTCATAACAAGTTTTTATTTAATTATCGACTGAAGAGTCTTTAATTATATATTCATAAATAAAATCAGTTAGGAACGTTAGCGAACTAGTCAATTTGCCTCTAATTTTTCATCGCGAAAAAAATGTATAGTATTTTTCTGACATGATTTTAAAACTTATATTTTTATTTAATTATTATTATTATAAGAGTTTTTTCTTATTTTATAATATTTTTTTTTTATTATTTTATATTGTTTTATTCTTAGCCGATTTTTTTTTATTAATTTTTTTCTTGTTTTTATTTATCCGCGTGAAAAAAATATATTTTTCTCACACGATTTTAATTTTTTAGTTGAGTTTTATTAATAATATTTTGTATTTAATATTCATTATCTAGCACGTGTTTTTTGTTATTGTTGTATTTTTTATTATTTTAATTTGTATTGTCTTATTTTTTAGTTTTTTTTTTAGAATTTTGTTAGTGTCAGTTTTTATTTGTTCTTCGAGGGAATAATATAGCCTTTTATTGACTGACTTACTATTATATTATATTTTATATTATTATTTTTAATATTCTACATATTTATCACTTTTTTTAAATTTTTTTTTTGTGTTTTTGTTATCTTAATTTGTTTGTTATCATATTTTATTACTATTTAATAAAATAAAATATTAATTAATTATTTATTTTTTGAATATTTTTTTCTATTTTTCATTTTATTTAAATTTTATTGTATGGCGTCACAACTGCGCTGCAACTCTTGTAAATTTATTGAGCTTCAACACTTCATTTTTAACCATTTCTTAATTTCTTTTCTTATTTCTTTTTCCATAACGAAACTGCTTTAAATTTGAATACAAAATTCAAAATGGTAATAAATTAAGCCAATCACTATTATGTTTTATCATGCAAATCGCAACTATGCTGAATTCGAAAAAAGGCGTTTACGCTTTATAATTCATTGCAATTTCAAATTGTATGCGTTTATTTTATCAACACTTGCACAAATAATTTGTTACGCTTTTGGAGGTCAGTCCATATTGTAGTCACATTTAGCAGCGTCACACTGTAAACTAATATATATATCAGGTTGATTTAGCTTTCAATAATATGTGGTGAGAGATGAGTTGTTCAAATTTCAATTTCTTGTGAATACCGTTTTTTAATCCAAAACAGTTCCCGTTGGTTTTTAACGATGTTTGTCTGCCACTAAACGATATTTAACATGTTTCTCCGCCAAATCAAATTATTTGTAAGCAACTAAATCGTAGATAATCGTCAATCGCACCGCAACTCGAGCCACACGATACCGTAAGCCACCAGCTCCGAGTTTGATCTGTTCGCCGGGCGCATTTTTGCTGTCAACGTTCAGCTTTGCACTCAAACACGCTCTCATTTGCCGTTGAGCTCTTGGCTGCGCTCAATTTATTTTCAATCAGCTGTGCGCATTTGACGAGCATAAAGCAAAATCTATTTGTTTATACATATACGAGTATACCAATTTTTCAGTTTACCTATACTTCCTCGTATTTTGTATGACATGATAGTAAAAAAAACGAAATAAAATAAATGCCCACTCTTGCTTCAACTTCCACTCAGAATTTTTATTTTTTTGATTTAGCTACTCCTCTCAAGAGTAATCTGTAGTTTTTTCACTAATTTCACTCTTTTAAAGTGTATTGCTCAGTATTTATTGTTTGCTTGTCGACAATTCGGCCGATGTTTGTTGTTATGGTTATATTTTTTATGGTTGTTTTAATTTGCATTGCCTGGTTGTCATTGCTTACAGTAAATGAGTTTTTATCATTGTATTATTTTTATGTTCAAACATATTTACACAGATCCTAATTTTACCACATTTTGACTGTATTGATTATATATTTAGTTTGCTACTTTTTTTGTAGACTACGCATAATTTGTAAGCCTCATTTGTGGTCGTTAACTGTAAATTAGTTTTGTATGCAAATTTGTATTTATGAACTATATGTATTGGTATAAAACGAGAGTTAAATATTTTCCGGTAGACAATTTATATGCGAGAGCACAATGCGTGCCTATATGCCGCTATTTTATCGAAGTAAGTTGATTACGGCCAAATTAGCATTTTTTGGTTTTAACCACACTGCAAGGATCGCAGAAGAAAAACTACCACAGTAAATCTATGTTTTAATTGGACTTATTTGGAATAAAAAGTCTCAGAAACTATTCATAAGTTTCATATGTATCAGCGTAGTTTATTAGATCGTTTGGAAATTTTGCTCTGCATTATACCCTGAACAGGGTATATTAAGTTAGCCATAATGCTTGTAACTAAATGATCAGCGTGATAAGCTGATCACAAAATTTGCAGGGCAATAATGCAATCTTCAAAGAAATTGCTCAGATTCAAACCAAATGATTTCGTGGCGCGAGAGTCACCTAAGCACTGACCAGGCACGGTGCCTGCTTTACCTATATAGAGCCAGCTGGCAGTCAGCTTTCCGTGAGTTCACCTCATGACTTTTAAATCACATCACATAGAGGCGCGAAAGTCACCTAAGCCCTAGCCAGGCACGGTGCCTGCTTTACTTATATAGAGCCAGCTGCCAGCCAGCTTCCCGTGAGGTCACCTCATGATTTTTTAATGACATCACATCGAGGCGCGAAAGTCACCTAAGCCCTAGCCAGGCACGGTGCCTGCTTTACTTATATAGAGCCAGCTGGCAGTCAGCTTCCCGTGAGTTCACCTCATGACTTTTAAATCACATCACATCGAGGCGCGAAAATCACCTAAGCACTAGCCAGGCACGGTGCCTGATTTACTTATATAGAGCCAGCTGCCAGCCAGCTTCCCGTGAGGTCACCTCATGATTTTTAATGACATCACATCGAGGCGCGAAAGTCACCTAAGCCTAGCCAGGCACGGTGCCTGCTTTACTTATATAGAGCCAGCTGCCAGCCAGCTTCCCGTGAGGTCACCTCATGACTTTTTAATGACATCACATCGAGGCGCGAGAGTCACCTAAGCACTGGCTAGGCACGGTGCCTGCTTTACTTATATAGAGCCAGCTGGCAGTCAGCTTCCCGTGAGTTCACCTCATGACTTTTAAATCACATCACATCGAGGCGCGAAAGTCACCTAAGCACTAGCCAGGCACGGTGCCTGCTTTACTTATATAGAGCCAGCTGCCAGCCAGCTTCCCGTGATGTCACCTCATAACTTTTTAATGACATCACATCGAGGCGCGAGAGTCACCTAAGCTCTGGCCAGGCACGGTGCCTGCTTTACTTATATAGAGACAGCTGGCAGTCAGCTTCCCGTGAGTTCACTTCATGACTTTTAAATCACATCACATCGAGGCGCGAAAGTCACCTACGCCCTAGCCAGGCATGGTGCCCGCTTTACTTATATAGAGCTAGTTGGCAGCCAGTTTCCAGTGTGGTCATCTCATGCCTTTTAAATCACATCACATCTAGGCGCGAAAATCACCTAAGCCCTAGCCAGGCGCAGTGCCTGCTTTACTTATATAGAGCCAGCTGCATGCCAACTTCCCGTAAGGCTACCTCATGACTTTTAAATGACATCAAATCGAGGCGCGAGAGTCACTTAAGCACTGGCCATACATGGTACCTGCTTTTCTTTTATAGGTCTGCTGCAGACACAGAAGCAAGGCCCTTGATTCTATATAACCGAAAAAGAAACACATTGACTCAATAGCGCCCAGCAGGATCCTGTATTATATTCTAGGCTAGTCAGATGGTGGCAGCATGGTACTTGTAACCAATAGATTCTCTTTGTTAAATGCATTGTCAATAATCTAAATACTATTCGAATCGCCTTTATCGGAAGACTTCCGACAATAATTAATTTAGTTGACAGCTGAGTACTTTATTTCTTCAGATCAACTGATGTCGAATGTATTATTTACACATAAAATATATTATAGCTTCTTCAAAACCAGGGCTTACTTTAGGCCACCTCATTAAAGCAATACATGCATATATAGTATGGAGTATACTTGTTCTTCTGTTCGCTGTAACTTTAGTTGGGGTATTTGAACTTTCTGTTTATCTTCAAGATCCCTGTAAGTCACATACAGATATCCCCATACTTATAAACTGCGTGACTTTTTCGCCCATTTCATTGCGGTCTTTATTTACCTTCGTAATTAGCACATTTGCATAAAAGTGCTTAACCAAATGAGGAAAAAATCTCGGACAATATGATTTGCTCAAAGAAAGATGAAAGCAAAAAAGTGTAAAAAATAAAAGTGCCACTTTAAAATTGCATTGAAAAGGAAGTTTTAACTGCTGCAATTGGTTCAAAACGTTTCTTCGCACAACAAACAGTCCACATTTTGTAGAACTTGAGTTTTGCTTTGTATTTACTTTAAACGCATTAACTTAGTGTTGTTGCCTTGGAATTACGGCTGCCTATCCCCTTGACTCACTGCGTTTTACGGACGTAACTATATTTTCGAAAATATGTCTGTATATTTGTGCATATGTCGGCTACATATACATACATATATACTAGCATTGTGCTGGCATTGAAGAACGTGTTTGGCATATCGACAATGTTCGACCTTTCATTTAGCAGCACATTACCATGGTTCTTATACTAAAGTTAAATAAATAGACAATTTGCATAGTACTCGAGTGTATATAAATGTGTGTGTATATATATAACTTTGACTTGCTGACGACATGAATGAATGGACGTGTGACTAATGCTGGTTAGCGTGCGTACATACATATTGTTACCAACCAACCGAAACCAATAATATTAATGCATTATTAGCGAGTTCTGAAAAGTCCATTTCGGGCTTAAGCGTTTTTTCATACAAAAAAAACCAAAATATATAAAAATATACCAAATATAAATGCAACTTACGTTTTTAAAAAATCGAATTTATTGGCTTTTAATTTGTTGCAAACTCGTTTGTCATTGCAGCCTCGCTCTCTGTGGTAATTACAGGTTTATTTAGTTGTTTCATTTATGCTGATATTATTTCTTTTCGCTGCAGCTTTTTGAAGATTTTTTTCCGCTTAATTAAAAGGTAGGTATTACTTTGTTTTCTCCTTGAATACATAGTATTTTGAAGTAAAATGTGACCTCGTTGATTTAAGGTGTTTTAAAAGAAAAACAAATTTTTCCGATTAATGATATAACGCTCATTGCTATTAATTTTAATATGCATATATAGCTGTAATTATTATTTAAAAATGTGTATGTAAAAAATTTGATAAATTCTTTTAAATTTTCATTGCTCGTCTCTTTCATATTTCTACTTTAAAGTTTCTCTGTGCTTTTCTTATCATCTACGCTACTGAGCCAGTTCGAATTCCAAAATAACAAAAAATATATATACATATATTATGTTTACAATACGCAAATTACCATTCCGTTATAGGTTAAATATTGCTAAATCGATTTTTGTCGAGTCCTGACTATTAGTGGCCTCTCGTTTTGCTTTTCGAAATATTAAAAGAAGTCAAGTACTTCGTTCATGAATAGACCAAATCAGTGAAGCTTCTCTCCTTACCTTTACTGGCACAGCCTTCCTTTCAGAGCTGCGAGTTTGCATCCATTCTGTTATAGCCTCATCGTTTAATTATATGCAATTGCTACTCTTTCTTATGGTCACGGTGGTTTATTTTTTGCTAAGTTTTAAGCTTGTATTAAGTATAGTACACGCCTTATTATATTTCACATGAAAATGATATGCCAAAAAATTTAAAAATTAAAAAAAGTCTGCATCAAAGCTTTTATTCGAGTGTCTATAGTTTTATCAATTTAAACAATATTATTTTATCAAACTTTAAACATACATACATCAAACATTCATATATGTATGTAGTTTTTCAAATATTATTTTCATTTAAATATAGAAAAATTTAAATATACGTGAGAAGTAAGTCAATTATGCTCTATCACAGTAGTTCTTATAACTCATTGTATTTCAAAGCTATCAATGTGAAATGTAGGCAGTAAAATGTTTAACGTTTTTACTTTCAAATAAAGCAAAAATAATTTTTGGGATAGTTTCGAAAATTTTTGAAAATTTTGAGATTTCTGGAAAATTTGTACAATTTTTGAAAATTTTAAAATGCTTTATATTTTCGAAAATTTTGTAAAATTTTAAAACTTTATGAGAGTTTTGAAAAAGTTTCAAATTTTTATTTCTGCAAAATTTCGAAAAGTTTTAAAATTTCAGAAAAATTTCTAAATATTTTTTCAAAATTCAATTAAACCTCTAAGTGTTAATGAGGCTAACTTAAATAATGAACACAAACAAATTCTCCTTTTAAGCGTAGACTCAATTATCATGTGCATACAAATATCTTATGAATCCGTT